AGCAGAGATAATGTCAATAGAGAAACTAATACACTACTAAGAAAACACATCATATATATATATACAGAGTGCTCTACGCAGCAATCAATTTTCTGATTGATGACTATTATTCCTATATTTGTTTCTAATTGTTTCTGAACAGGGACGGGCTAATTGAGGGGACGAATTGAGAATCAATCAACTAGGAACGAATTTTGTTGGGGACGAATTGAGAGTCAATTAAGGGGGGACCAGTTGGGGACGAGTCGAGAGTAACTCATTTTTTTCGTTCTTCTCAGGGACACTTAATATGTATCGGTAAATTAGATGTTCTTATTTCAGAAAAGAAGCAAATCAAAAGATCAAAAACTTTCACTATAAACTATCCTCATTAAGATCTGTCTCTATGCAAAGTTTCAAGTCGCAATTCGAAAATTAGTTTTTCTGCGATGGATTACGGTATTGACTTAAAAAAAAAACGTAAAAATACACCATTTCACTACGAATAATCGAAGGACACAAACTCTTTTTATGATATTCATAGATCATTAATGCTTATATGGCGCACATAGTTCGGACTTGAAAACGATTAATCAACTTTGAGACTTCCGTCATCAGATATGTCTCATTTGACAGTACAAAATTTTGAATATGATACTTTTTTAATTCTTACCAAACTATTTTGCTATTCATCTGTAGAGATCTAAGCTGGACAAAGTTATCAAAGCGTTCGAATTTAATTTAAGAGACAAGTACAAATAAATATAACATGTGAGTTAATAGCAACGAAATCTGTATATTCTTCTTTTGTCTAGTAGATATTATTTATCTTATTATTGATGAGCTAGTACTCAATTCAATCAGAAGTCAACAACACATTTTCATACCAAGTAATGTGTCCATAACCTATAACAAGAAATGATTAAAAAAAATGATAAATATATTTATATGAGAAATCTTTACCAATTGTTGTAATAACTGTAATTGCATAAAGAATTGCACCTGGAAAATTCCATTGTTTGTTATCATCATCAAGACGTTCACCTTGATAACCACGTTTTGTTTGACGAACTAATTCTAGTTGATATTCTTCAAGTATTTGTCGAGCCATTGCTGTCCAATTTTTGACTTCTAAAACTTTTGATTGTTCACTAGTATTAAATAATCTTTCAACTGTTATATTTAAACGTCGATGAACACCTTGACTAACTTCACCTTCATGTGGTCCTTCAAGTAATTGAAATACAACACCACCACCAAATGCATATGCCACGACAAGTAAACAAAGTCCAACACGTGAAAATATAAATGTTGTTACAGATTTACAACAACTTTTACATCGTTCTACACGTTCCGAACGAATACTACCGACTGATGGATGCTGTTGACCACTTTGTCGTTGCTGCTGTTGAAGCAGCTCATCTCGTCGTTGTTTCCTGGCCAAATGAAAATAGAACATTGTATATTTAAATAATTTCTTTTTGATAGTAACATAAATAATAAGTCGTTTAGTTGAGCTTTCAAATCGTACGCAATTGTGAGAATAGAAAAGAATCTTTGTACTTGATATTTTTACTTGATAAAAGAAACAGACAGCAATCTTTTATGCTTACGCATCACTCGATCATATCCATACACGTACATACACACACATATGTCATCAAAATAATAGATATATTAGTTCGAATGCATTATATTAGATGTTTAACATATGCTTTATAATGATAGATCACATAATGTACGAATTCATCTATTACAAGGAAATCAGTCTTTTTTATCATTGATACTTACGGAATATGTCCATTTGCCTTTGGCATAATAACATTGTCATAGGTACTATTATTGCTAGACAAGCGAGTTCTATGACGTTCTGATGACAATGGTCTATGATGATGTTTAGTTTTTGTATCGAACAACATTATATTGTTCTCTTTTCTTTTTTTTTTATTTAAAGTTATACACTTGTATATCTACTGATAATTTACAATGACGTAGTAAAACATTAACATGCTCTAGTCGCATGGGTAAATAGATTTTCTAATTATAAGATAATTTCCATTTGTTTGATTACTTAACACATACTATTGAGAATCTCTCTATTCTGGATATTAATTGCAAGCAAATCGACTTGAAGAAATAAACATTAGATGTTGAAGAAAAGAAAAAAATAACAAAAAAAAAAAAATGTTTGACCCTGGATAGATCATCAACACAAAAGAAAATAGTTTCTTTATATCCTCAAGTTATTTTTGTTGTATTTTCATCTGATTAATAGGTTTTCATTGATAAATACAATCATCAATTAATGACAAAATATCTACCATTATTAGTTGTTTTATTATTTTCAATCGTTATTAAACTGTTTGTCTTCTCAATTCCAATAGATACAGTAATTGTAACTAATATACATATACTTGTTCCTTTATGTGAACTAGAGAAATATACATAAATTTATGTGTATAACTACTATGTTTCTTTTTTCCTGATATTCATGAGTTGTTTGTTGTGATGTCACTACACCCTTAATTGAATGATATGTATGAGTATTCATTGGTTTACTCACGAGAATGTGCAATAGTTAATTATATTAGATGCTCTTATGGCTAAGAGACATAGACAAGACGTATATGAAATTTCTCATGAGATATACAGAATACTTGAATGTCGATCGATGAAATATCAAGCTAAAAGTGTAGTTTACCGCTACTCCTAGTAATGATTTTTATTAATCTGTCTTATGTTTTGAAAATGTATCTATCTTACTAACAAAACTAATTTGTATAGGAGAGACAGAGAGAGATGAACATAGAAAAGACTAATAGAGAAAAAAGAAAACAAAGGAAAATGAAAAAGAATATGTCAACAAAAAAGTGATAGTGCTACTGATATATATATCCTTCATTGATCTTAGACCTCCTTCTGAGTGTCTGTACAAGAAAAACAAATTAAAACCAACAGTAAGTTCATCAAATGAATTATTTATATAATTTTTGAAAATAACACAAAATATCACAAGATAATATATAAACAATTTCTCAATCTGTTAATTTTCCTTTTACGACAGTTTAGACATATAAATAATCATTTCAGCACTATATATTGACCAATAGAAAGAATCGAGAGCACATCATCTTTTGACATGCTTCAATATTTCTCGAGTAATATTCCATAAAATAAAAAGAACATTATAAAATTAACATGAAAACTAAGAAAAAATTTTGTATTTCTACTTATCCGAAGAGACAACATTTTAAGGTAATATTTACAAAAAAAAACAAAAAAAAAAGTGTACGTATAACGTCATGCTTGGAAAACGATAAATTATTTTTCGTTATTCAATATTTTTATATATAAATATTTGATCACCACAAATCGTTAATTACTAACAACAGTCAATTTAGTGAAATGCTGATGGTAATAAAAGACAATGAACAAACTACTACTGCTAATCTAATTGCAATGTTATTGATGCGTGTGCTTCATTGACGACAAATGAAGCATCATTATTGTTTACAGCTAATATGTAATCATGATCATAATTGACAGCACCCGTTTTTTTTTTTTTTGGAAAGAAGAGGAATGCAATGGAGAGGAAGATTGATAAAATGACTTTAGACAGAGTGATAAGAATCAGGGTTCAAAAAAACAACGCCACAACGTCACTATTTTCCGCAATTCTATTAAACAATAAAATTTAATACGGTAACATGCCATTTTCAACGGTTGGAATGATCATTCTGGAGAGCACACACATCCTTAACGACGGCAGCGAGCTCGAACACTACACAGCTGTTCTCCAGTAAACTCAATGATGTTCTGCAATATTGTCGTTCTACAAGTATTACCAACACTCAGTAGTATACTGTCATTTGACAATGCCATGTCTCTCAAATCACGTCTGTCCTTGTATTCATTACTTCAATCAACGCTGCTTATCGTTCGTCGTTGTACAATTAAATCTTCTTGAAAACATATATTAACATCAATGATAATCTTCACAGTTTGGCAACAATATTATTGTTATCTACTTGATTCATATTCATGATTATCGATTGCTTTTTTGACTTGGAATGACGATAATACACCAGATTGAGACGGACTAGCCGCTTTTTGGTACACACACTAGTACTCATATGCATTGCTACCTTCCTTAAAAATAATACTGCAGACAGGATCTTTGGATTCACTGTACATTCTGAAGTGACGCTCTTATTATCGTAGAGTCAATCACATCAATGTTTGAACTTCTGCTATTGATTTGTTGTTGATAAATGAATGGTTAGGAATAATTCCTATTTTGAAGTTGTAAGACCCATTAGTCGGAGCTATTATATACCGACGAACACGAAGAATAGGTTACTGTTACCCTTAGCAAGGATATTTATTAAGCTATTTCTTGTCTTTAGAATGTGTCTGTTTCATACAGAACAGAAGTTTACATCGAAGAGAGGAAGTGGACAAAGACAAGATGGATAGAAAAAGAATAAAAAGAAAAATGAAACATATCAACGAGAGAGTACGCTTATAATTGACAGAATCGAGAACGATGTAAATCGAATAGTTTACTAAAAGTAAAGGTAATATGGGTGATTCATTAAAAAAAAAATCTTAGTTATGTTAATTATATACGTTGTAATTGTCAATGATATATTCTATACAAAAGTGGAATATTTATTTCGATGAAAATCTTGTCATCTCAATATTCAATTTCGAAAAACTAAAATCTGTATAAAGTACTTTCTTAAAGATTAATATGCGATAAATTATATTTTTTCTGACATATATAGACTTTATTATTTTTATATAATCATGTATAAACTCTTAATTTATATAGATTCTGTTCTGCAGCTGGCATCTTCGATATGGAATGAGAAATGATGTATGTTTCTAGATCAAGGTTACATTCCAAAAAATGTTATTCATTTATTTTCTCAATCGATGAATATTCAGTATGACGAAGACAATTTCCTGCACAAAGGTTACATGAAAATATTACTATTTTTTAACGTAGATTCGATACATATAATTGTTCTATATAGTATCTTGTAAAAGTGATGCAATAATATCCTATCAATAAATATTTAATTTATAAAAAAAAAGAGAAACATTTTTTTTAAATTGATCTCTCAGCTGACGTCAATGTTTGATTTTAGGAATATATTTTGATCGACTAGTTACTGCTTCTTTCTTTGGTCTATTTCATTTATATATGAAGATAAATGAAATGTGAACTAAAAATTATACTTGTTCACATATCAATGCTTGAAAAAAAAAACATCTTATTATAAAAATATTCCTTGAAACTATTGCTTACTTCACGGCTCTGTGTCGACGAATCACGTCAAATATATCGTTGAAAACGCGATAATAAAGAAGAGACATTAAATGAAGATATATGATTAAATAGTCAAATGTATAATTATTGAGAAAATAAGGAAAAGATAATATAATATATTACGCTTCCAAATCAAACCAGATGTATTATTGTTTCTTTGAAAATATGGTTTCGATTGAATTGTTAATAATTAAAAAATTTTGTTCGTAGCACACGTATATTATGGATGTATTCTGAACTTATATATGCATATATAAATATATATATATATATGTGCGTATGTGTTAGTTTGCTATGCTATCACAGTAGACAAGAACAAGAGATACCACAAGAAAAAAGAAAGAAGAAGAAAGAAAGAAATCGGCATTTGGACGACGATTGTGTGCATACTTTAGTTTGTCATCAACGTCAATAGTACTGTTGCGAATAGACAGTTATCAATTAGTGAATGTGATTTATGCAGATTTTGAGAAACGCAAGAAAAAGAAAGATCATACATTTTTCACTATATTAAGAAAATATTTTTACCTTCGACATTGTTGTAGAACTCGATAAAGATTATCGACAGCATGGTAAAAGATCAACGACATTATTTTGTGTCAATGTGACTATTACTTTTCTATATAGTATCATCTCTTATATAGTGTATCGATTATGATCGAAAAAAAAAATAATACATTTGGGAAAAGAAAATTTATTCAATAAAACTAATTGAATTTTATATTCATTTATAGTACGCTTGAAAAAAAAAACGAGACTTTATACTTAACCTTTATATAAGGTCACACACTAATATGTAGAGAAACAAGTTTTCTTTCAATCTATATTATAGTGTTTATAAATAACCGAAGTACAGGCATAAGTTTCTGCTTGTTTTTAAATTTTAGAATGATTTATTTGATAGTCAATACACAGACTTCTTGGTATGAAATAGTTGATATCTAGGTCAAAAAAGCACAATTACCGTACACCATGAACATAAACAATTATAATGTACAACTCTAGTACACGATTGCATATGATCGTATGTTGAGTTGTATTCATCGAGTATATAGCTTGTGCATTTTAAATTTAGCAGCGAATTCAATGCTACATATTTATTGTTAAAGACCAAACCAATTTTT